GTGTGTGTGTGCGTGTACTCGTGGTGGAACACCAAACCAATGTGCCAGGATCTGGACAATAAAGATGTATCTTATCTTAAACCAGAAGGGTCCAGTAATTCCTTATTCATTCATGAACATCACTCTCTGTAAATTGGCTTTTTAGAGGTGCAAGTAATTATTCATGACCTCGTTGTGTTCCACTGAGCCTCTGTCCTGTTGCTAAAAATTTCTTGAGTTTACATATTCACCTAAAATGTTTAAAATGTGTACAATGGGCTTCATAAGTCAACTGCACATTTTGAAGAAATGAATGTCTTCACCCTGACGCCTGAAACCATTGACACACATTAACACAATTCTGCAGCACGATTATCTGATATGCCTTGATGAACCGAAATGACGTCAGCTTATAATTGTCAACCGTAATGCAACATTCTGAGAATGGATGATTGTGAAAGCTCTAATTAACGCTTTGATGGCAAACTGACCTGTTCGGCAGGTTTTCAGTTGAGCGTTTAACAGTATCAATGTTCTCAGGATTACAAGCCATTCCGTTGATCACTTATCCCTTCTTCTTGTCTTTCACTGACAAACATTCACTCATTTCAAAACAGACAAACCACCTGAGAAATGATTTTGTTTGACTGCAGACTGGTTTTTCTGGCTTTTGTAAGGATTCCATATTCTTTATACAACAAGGTCCAAACTTGTTGCAAAAAAAAAAGCCTTTATGGAATCAGCCTATGGCATTGTTAATTTTAGGAAAATTCTTCTGGCAAAAATGTTTTGCATGTATTATTACTTTTCCATATATATATACCTCAGCTAACTTCCTTTCAAATTTGGTGCCCATCCGCTCATTACATTATGAGTCATCAGCAATTCTAACAGTTTCACGAAGTTTGGGACACCCTGTACTACAAAAGGGACATCATTTAGGAATTTATATATCATTTAATAAAATGATTTAAACATACAGTTACTTCCCTTTACCTCCCTCGACCGATAGAGCTGCACAAAATACCATGGTTCACTCAAAATCAGTGAGCAGAACTTGCACTCTTGGTAAAACGACTTCCGACAACATCAAAAGTGCTACCGATGTCAGTCTACGTGAAGGACCATTCAGCTCACTCGATATAATAATTTATTATCTGACATGCTATTCATGCTGACCAGGCTATTGGAGCCTTCAGGGAGTAACATGATTATATATACTCTTTTCCAAAAGAAACTTGACACATTTTCTTTGAACATAATACTATTAAATCAAAACGGATAATGATGATATTTATGTACGGTGCAGTGTGTTGGTTTTACTGTCTTCTGAATCAATTTTGACAACACAACTAAGTGAGTTCACTCACTTCTGTGTGTTTAGTATGATTTCATTTTTTTACTTTTTATTCTATTAAGCATGAGTTTTCTGTGTTGTCTTTGCTATCAACGTGTGGCTTATTTCAAAACCTACAAAAGGTGTGTAATAAGTTTATGAACACATTGTTTGCATTTGAACTGTGAGCTTCAGCAATCTAGAAAAATGTTGACTTTCAAACGTGCCGCGTCTCAGTGCAGAGGAGCGAGGGCGCGCTGAAGGGCTTCTCGAAGCAGGCGTTCCCGTGGCGGATGTGGCAAGGATTTTTAACTGTAGCAGGGAAACCATCTACAGTCTGCAGACCAGGTACATGAACACAAGAAGTACCAGAGACTGGCCAAGATCAGGGAGGCCGCAGGTAACCACCCCGGCACAGGATCGGTATGCACAACCCACCAGAGGGACAGGTTCCAGTCTGCTTCACATACAGCCAGAACCCTCCCACAACGCCAACCAGTGAGCACACAGACAGTTATTCATCTCAGGTCCTTTTCACGGATGAATCTAGATTTGTCCAAGGTCGCTACTATGGTCAAGTGCGGGTATATCGTCTTCGAAATGAAAGGTTGGCTGACCAGTGTATACATGAAATCCCTAACCAGGGATATGGGTAGGTGATGATCTGGGGCGGAATCACAACAGATCACAGGACGGCACTGGTACATGTTCCGACAGCATAGAAGGGCGTCAATTATGTAGCCACCATCTTGCAGCCACACGTGGCACTGTTCGTGCAAAACCATCCTGGCTACACCTTACAACAGGACAACGCTCCAGCCCATCGTGTCAGGGTGACACAAGCTTACCTCGCACAACAACAATTCGGTTTCATCTATCCCTAGCCAGCAGTATCACCCGACATGAACCTGATTGAACATGTGTAGGACAACGCCCATTCTTGGGCCTCAAATCCAAGAGATGAATCCCGCTCCTCAGAACAACGCTCAGTTGATTCAAATCCTAACCAACGCTTGGAACGCTATCCTACAACATCAAATTTCCAACATCGTCAACTCTATGAGGCGCAGATGCCGCGCCGTCATTGCTGCAGGCGGTGGTCACACACGATATTAATCCTGCCGAACTTTCAGACATTACCTGAAATGCTTTTGATTTGACCAGTACCAGTGTGCTTTGCTATCATACGTTTCGAAAACCATGATTTAGGATGACTATGTCAATGTAAGATTTCTTGTTGGAAAAATGCACATTTTCTGATTTTTCGAATTTGGACCCTATCACTTCAGGTGGGACTTGAAGCACCAGGTGTGTATTATGTGCATTAAAATACAGGTTTTCAAATTCAGAAATGCTTCTTCTTTTTAGATGTAAAATTTTGTCCCTGTGTCTGCAAAGGTTTATTTTTTATTTAACACTATTCTTTATGTCAAGTTTCTTTCGAAATGAGTATATATCATTCAACTGAATCATGGGAAAAACCAAAAGAAATAGCACTCACCATTGTTCGTAACATCCTTATCCTTGTCAAGGTGAAGCTGAAATGTAAACAAAGAGATTGTAGTGAGGGACGTATGATGGAACTGTACGCACTAGAAACTGCCAAGGATTAATGTAATTACAACAGAATGAAAATCAACACGTCTAAAAGAAAAATAAAGATACTGGGGTGGGGGAACTGATGCCAAAATTTCACACAACTCAAAATCTGTACGAGTTGAAAAATTCCTTAACAAACATAACGTTCAGCTCTGAATGCATATTTCTTTTCTCTGGTTTGCAAAGTATTTTGATCAGACCTGCAAATAGGCAGTTATGGGTGGGGGGGGGGGGGGAGGGGTTTGGGGGAAGAATATCAACTCCCCAACCCCGGCAAATAAAAGCTTTGTTCATTTTTCTCAGTAGTATATACCAAAGTATCAGTACCCAAGCTACAACATTTCATTAACCCTTCACTTCTCTACCAGTCTTTTCTAAACCAACGCCATCTTTACCTCGGACATCAACAGCTGCCGCTTTTGTTTCAGCAAGTCCATCAACTCCTCCATTTCTTGCTCAGACGCCAATTCTGCAGCAGAGCTGATGCTCTTGTCCTCACTAACTGCTTCGGGTACCTTTGGTGGAGCTTTCTTCTTTTTCTTTTTACGATCTGGTGGGGGGCAACAAAGAGGGAAAAAAAATGACAGTACATGCTGGACTGTGCCTTGCTACAGTTACTTTGACAAACTGTAATACAGTCGGGTACGGATAACTCAAACACGTCAGGGATCGACAAATGCGTTCGACACATCCATTATTCGGGTTAACCGATAACGAAAAATTAAAGAGATACCTGAGGAGAAAAAGCAAATTGTACAAGTTAACCCTGATTTGAGTTTTCCATGCTCATGTTATTTGTGACTTATTCTTAACTCTTTTATCTCCAGCAAGCCGCTCCCAGCGGCTCGCATTCACAACCCCAGTACCAGTGAGCCACAGACAGCGGCTCGGGTGCATTCCTTTACGACGACTTCGGCATCAAATTACTTTTAGGAAATTACCAAAAACAGGTATCTTTTATTGGGAGTACATTCATAAGATGAAGAACTATCAAAATAGACTCACCTGTTTTGATTTAATGACCCATTTAGAGATTATTTTCTCATTTTTAGATTTAGTACGAAAGAATGGGCCCGGCATAGTGGGTTTTCTCCCAACGGAGATAACGATTTAAGCTGTATTCTCAACCCTACCATCTCAGCTGACATCCAGGATAGGTATCACAGAAGAAAGTACTTTTGGGATCTCCAGCAAAGCAAAATGAAATCTTTGAACTTTACTTTGCCAGACCTAAGCTAAATGACTCTGACAGCTTACAATCTTACAATGCATATTCAAGAGGTTCAATTGTTATGATAAAACATCAATTTTTTCCACTACTTCATCTCTAGACAAAACAGTATCCAGGACACACTGGACTAGATCTAGATCTAGTACCTACAAAATATGTTGAAAAGGAGTCTGAACAGGCTAAAGTCTTCAATTTTCTTAATGCTAAAATGAAATTATCCCTTGAAAACACATTCAGTACCAGCATATGCACAAAGTCAAATCTTAGCACTGTTTCAAATCATTTCATTTGAGGAATTTCTGTTTCCATGAAAAAATCTTTGTAAGTAACTGCTATTGTTTTAACTACAAACTAAAACTATTTCTTAAGATTTTCACAACTCGGCTGTATTTCACTGGAGATTTTATTGTCTTCCACATTTGCCATTCTGTGCAGAACAGAAGAGAGCAGTACACTCACCAGCACTGGTTACCTCCTTGGGCTGCTCTGACACCTTCCACATCCGAAATGTGGAATCGAAACCACCTGTCATAATGAGGTCAGGGTCAAGGTTACTCCACAGAACTGTCAGCAGTCTTCCTGGATGCTGGTTGTAACATGCCAGAACAGCGGAGGTCCTCACATCCCACACCTTCATGCCAAAAAGAAAAAAAACACTGTAGTTGCCTATGAAAACAAAAACCTACACAAAGTAAAGCACTCCCTCAAGTATGTTTAAAGAGAGCTCCAAATGGGTAAAAGTCAAGTTGACCCCCCCGCCCCTCCCCTTCCCTTTCCCTTTTCATTAAAAAAGAGAAGACATTTATTTGTTTTAGTATAGGTTTTACGGCGCTCGCAACTGCATAAGGTCATATGAGCGCCAGAAGATTAGAGGTGTTACAATATAAAAAAGAAGAAGGGGAGATAAGGACGATAGATGTTTGATAGGAAAGAAGAAGCAAACCACACCAGAGCACCCGCCAGCCACCCACAGAGAAGACATTTATGACAAAATGAATAAATGAACAAATAAAATCCTCTCAAGCCTAAACAAGAACACAAAGTTAAAACAACAACAACAACAACAACCACCACCTGCACAAAAGAGACTGAGACTTACCACGGCCACGTTGTCGTACCCCACAGTGACCATCCGGCCGTCGTGGTGCGGGCTCCAACACAGGTCCGTGGTGCGCTGGTGGTGGCCTTGTAGCTGGCGGTAAGCCTGGACCTCACGAAGGGGGCTTGAGGAGCCTGAGGCGGTACCCACTGAGGATGGGAAGATAAGATAAGATGAGATAAGATAAAAATGAGATGAGATAAGATGAGATGAGATAAGATAAAATAAGATAAATCTTCATTGTCCAGATACGGGCAGATAGGTTTGGTGTTTCTCCACACACACACACACTCACACATATATATATATATATATACAAACAAACACGCGCGCCCATAGATACACACACATATACACCCACATCCACATGTGAGCACACCCATACACACACTCTCTCTCTATTTACACAACATCCCTTCCACACACATCTGTGCATATACACACATAATACGCTTGCACTCACAAACAGACCAACAGTCACACACAAAATATAAATGAACAATAATACTGTTAACAATAAAAGTGTTTTAAACTAGATACATAGTCAGTATTTTGATAGAAACTCAAGGAGGCTTGGTCAAAGACAGGGGTCCCTACACTGAAAATGTTTCCATGTAAAACAAAAATGTCTATATCTATATGGCTTTTTTTATTTCATAAATACGTTTTATGCAACTGGCTATTTCTTTCACACAATAGACCAAAAAAAAAATCCCCCTAAGGCACCATGTTTCACATAACACGAACTTTCATCAGCAATGAACCCCATCCTTTGCATTGCAGAATATTTACCGCTTACATTATAATTATCAGTATGTGCTTTTGATTCAATTTAAGCTTATACAAAGAGCTCTTCAATTCATACCAAATCTCTGTTGTGGTCATTTTCAATTATTAGTCACACCTTGCAAAACAAATAATCTTACAAATGGAATAGTAACAGAAAGGGTATGCAAACAGCACAGTTGATATTATGCTGAACTACGGTGCATTTGATCCCGATTCAAATTTTCAATGGAATGCTCCTGAGCTTAAAAAAGCTCTGTCCTATCTGACATGGCCATTTAATAGGAAGGAACCACCTCTTGAACATTTTTTATGGTATTCATGGGGGGGAAACGGTGTTGAACCAATACCATACTCACAGAAGACTTGCGACAAATCTACCACTGTGACACACGAGTCGTTGCCGGCAAAAGCCACCAGGCTGTGACAGGGGGACAGGTGGGGGGACTCGCCCGTGGTCTGTGGATGCCATCGGATGCAGTTGACCAGCTTCTGGTGAAGACTGACCGAGCAGATTCGTTGCAATCGCGGGAAAGAGTAGACCGTCACAGACCTGAAAGTGACCAGTGTTCCAAGTTTCAATATTTAGTTATATATAGTTTTCTTAGTATAATGGTGATGATAGTTCGGGGGAGGGAGAGAGAGAGCGGGAGGCAGGGAGGGAAAGAGAGAGAAAGCGAGAGAGAGAGAGAGAGAGAAAGAGGGCGTGGGGACAGAAATATACAGAGATATTGAGAGAGAGAGAGAGAGAGAGAGAGAGAGAGAGAGAGAGAGAGAGAGAGAGAGAGAGAGAGAGAGAGAGTGAGAGTGTGTGAGAGAGAGTGAGAGAGAGAGAGAGAGAGAGAGAGAGAGAGAGAGAGAGAGAGAGGGAGGGAGAGAGAGAGAGAGAAAGTGGGGACAGAAAAGCTAAAGCTGCCTTTTGTAAAATAAAGAGAAGGAATACAAAGAGATAATACAACTTTGCAAGACAACAACTGCTTGCAAAGATTTTGTAAAGTCAGGCATTCCAAAAGGGGATCAGCTGCAAAGTCAATTGGAACACCTTTGTACTCCTGCACAGCTTCTGGTACAACTTACCCATTGTCACAGCCCACAGCAAACATCGTGAAGTCTGAGTGCCAAGATATCTCACTTCTGTTGATCTTTTCCTTCTGAAAGAGAATAAGAATGAAGGACAAAAATAGCAACAATGCATACACTACAGCTATACTATGTCGAGACATTAGGTCAAAAGCATGAATTGACGCAAGGCAAAACATGTAAACACCAGCTCAAAAAGAGGGCCCTGCACTGTAGCAACCAGAAATGCCATGCTATCAATTCAGTTTGTTATGTCATATTATTCACTCTTCTTCAAGTCAATGTAAAACAAATTGCTCAGAATAATTCAGCAAAGCTTTCTTTCTTTTTTTTTCCATTTATTCTACGGTAAAATTTCCCATCACTGTTACAGATACCCCCCTCCCTATCATGACCATGGACTTTCACCTCTTCCCCGTTGACCGCCTGGATGGCCTTCACAAGGTTGACTGCATCCCTCTTGGTCTCTCCATCGCCAATGTAGTGCTGTAGAATTATGCCATCACCCACAGAGTAGACTTCAAAGTCATGACCACCTGTTGAAAGAGAGAAAGGACAAAGGGACTACTGAAATTGCTGCAGTTGTTAGGTACTATATCTAAAGTCATGCCAATTAATTTTTTTAATCATAAAAATAAAAAGTATTAGACTAAGACTAGTTTTGTATGTTTTATTAGATTTAGTGTAAATGTAACTTTACTATGTCAAAAAAACTCATAGGTAATTCTGAGAGATGTGGTGGAGCTTTGGAATACCCCCAAAACGCTAGTATTCAGCACAAGAGATTGGTGAAAGATTCCCAGTAGTCGTTGAATTAACTCTTTATCTCCGTAGGGGATAAACCCACTATGCCGAAGCCCCTTTTCGGTACTAAATCTAAAAATGTCGAAAGCGTCACTAAGTTGATCTTTAAATCAAAACAAGTGAATGTATTTCGATAGTTCTTCATTTAATAAATGAACTACCGGTAAAAGAGACCTGTTTTCAGCAATTACCGAAAAGTAATTTTAAGTCGAAGTAGTCATAAAGGAATGTGCCCAAGGCGCCGTCAGTGGCTCACCGGCACAGCAGTTCTGACCGCGAGCCGCTGGGAGCGGCTTGCCGGAGATAAAGAGTTGAGGCTACAATATGCACACTTTAATTCAGTTGGTTTTTTTGGGAGGGTTGCCCTTTTCTTTAAAAAGGCAAACCAAATAACATAATCAATCCTTACACATGAGTAGTGAGAAATGTGAAAAAATACCAAAACAAAACAACAACAAAACAATATAAAACAAGTGTTATATCTCTAGCGGGTGGTTGGAGGGAGCCACTAGTCAGTCCTACTTCTTTATTCTCCACCCTGTTGTGTCTGTTTATCAGTCTTGTTCTTTTCTGTGACCATTGCAATGCTTTGTGTTTCTCTTAACTTAAAAAACATTACCTCTCCCTCTCCCTTAAATGAAACCTTGATTTCAACAAGATGTACTGACCTTTGCCAGCCTCAAGCGGGGGTGCCCAGCAAACAACGTATACAATCTTGTTGTGGAAAGTGCCTGACATTGAAGGATATCTGTTGAATCAAATCAAAATTGTAGAAATAACGGTAATAACTATAACAAGATATATAAGAATTAAAATAATTATGAAAAATATTAATAACACTAATAATCACGATAATTGTTTCAATAAAGTCATAAAGAACTACACAATAACATAACAGCAACAATGATAATGATATGAAAAATCAATGATAATCACAATGATAAGAAGGGGACATGATAATAATATCACTGCTGATGAAGAAAATAGTGATACTAATAACAATAACAACAACAACAATTCAGAAAGGAACCTTTAACTTTTTAGGAAAAAAGAAAAAAAATGCGACGATTGATTCTTTTCCTTTACCCCATTAATATGGGGAAAAAAATGGCTTTCAATACCGTTTGGGGCCAAATCCAGATCAAGACGGATAAAGAGCAAAAGATGTTTTTAATGAGAGTAATGTATTTAGTAAGGAAAAAAAAATCTTTGCTTTTACCATTTTGCTGTGACTTACTTGGAAGACAAGAGGTTGTAGACTCCGACTCTGCCATCTTCTGTCCCATAAGCGAGGAGACCTTCTCTTTGTGGGTGCCAGCTCACCTTGACAAAGAGAGAGAGAGAGAGAGAGAGAAAACAGAAACTTTTTGTGAGGTGTGTTAATAAAGTCAGTAACTTCTCACAATCAGTGAATGGGGATATCTGTCATGAAATGATGACACAGAGGTCAAATTTGTAGATTTTCGACAAATGCCATTTTCTTCAAGTTTAACGTGTCTTTCGCCATTTTATACAATAAATTGTACAAACTCAACCTATAAATTTGACGTATCTATGTCCATAGAGCTAAAATCCAAGAAGCGACTCATTTTGTCAGCACGTTTCATTGATCCTGAATGTCCACATCAACAAAATATAGAGATTTAGACTATGAAGGAGAAAGGTCGCTCCCTGCCCATCAGGGTCCACAGGAGAAATATCCCAGGAAAAAGAATATGAATTCTAAAGTAAATGAATTCTCAAAGTAAGAATCGAACTCGTATTCTTACAAATCAAGATAAAGCAGAAAGGACTGGCCACAATTTTGGACTCATCTTCGATTCCAACATGTGAGTACTGATCCATATTGTAGATTACAATTGAACGTACTCAAATCACACCAGAGCACACTACAGAAGGTTCAGAAAGGGATGCTGTATGCAGACTGGAAGGCTATGATCAGGGAGAGCAGCCTGGAAAGAGTGGCCTGGATCTTCTGCCCGGGCCATGCAGGGGTAACCGCCAACGAGAGAACAGACAAGCTGACTGGAGAAGCAAAAGTGGGAGGGAATTTGACACTGGACCCACCAACCGTCCTAACCGCTGTAAGGGAAAATTTGAGGAAGAATGGGGCACAGGGGTTCCCACACCCTAGGTAGACTGAAGGAGAAGGGGACCCAAAGAGGAGAAGAGAAACACAGCCACCTATGCCGACCAGTCCAACGGATCTCCAACCAGATTATGGTGGAGACTGTAAGCAGACAGACTCTGGGATGGATCCTGAAGAAGGGGGGACGGGGCAGAGATGGACATGTTCCGACCGTAGTGAGCCCAACACTGTGGACAAGGTATGACAAGGTGTGACAGAGTTTCGAGGCAGTCCCCTGTAGCATAAACTTGACAAAATGAAATGGACTCACTGTGGTTATCTTTGACTTCATTCCGTAGTAATGAGTGGAAATGTCGAAAGGGTTCGTCCTCTTCCCCTGATTCCACACTCTGATCATGTTGTCCCCTGCACCGATTGCCACACAGCCTGAGGAAATGACGGACAGGTGACATTACATTATTCATCTCTTTTAACTTCACGTGTACATAGTTTTTAAAAGTTTTAGTAAGAGTTTTACGGCACTCACAACACAATAAGGTCATATAAGTGCCGAAGATTAGAGGTGTTACAACAGAGTAAAAAAACATTAAAAAGAAAGAGGAGAGATAAAGACAATAGTTGTTTGATAGGAAAGAAGGAGCAAACCACACCAGAGCACCCGCCAACCTCCCACGTACATGGTTTGATGGACAGGTGACATTACATTCATCTATTTTAACTATAAGTGCACATAGTTTGACGGACAGGCGACATTTCATTGATCTATTTTAACTACATGTGTACATAGTTTAATATATTCTGTGTACAGTTGAAATTGTCTGAGATTGACATCGACCATTGAGGAGAAACATAGTCATCTTTGACAGGTGAAAGTCTCATACAGTGTCATTATAATGTACCAAAAAAAAAGGACGCAAGGGAGGAAAAAGGAAGTGGCCGTTTGTACAGGTGATTGTCTTATATAGGCAGCTGTTAGAGTAGATTTGACGGTAGTTTAATGTAGTCAAACATTTTCTGTGCACTTTCGTGTTTCACAGGAGTATAGTTACAGATTTGCAGAAAAGAGAGAGAGACAAGCACTGTTAAAATAGTCTGATATCTACATTTAACCTATTCTGTGTACATTTGATTGGGTTGAAGTTTCCTGCCACGGCAATCAGAAATAAAAGAGAGGCAGTAAAGTAATTATCTTTTGTTCATGTGTCACATATTGTTTGTTTAAGATGAAATTGACCTCTGCAACCTTGTGTGTGTGTGTGTGTGTGTGTGTGTGTGTGTGTGTGTGTGTGTGTGTGTGTGTGTGTGTGTGTGTGTGTGTGGGTGGGTGTGGGTGTGGGTGTGGGTGTGGGTGGGTGGGTGTGTGTAGGTGTGTGTATAGTGATTAAGTATGTATATCCACATTTTGTTCTATAAATATATGCGTTTTGTCTTTTTCAATGTCAGAGAATGTGTTTGTATGCATGAATGGTGGTGTCTCAATGAAAAATAGTTCTTTAGATTTAAAAGCCTGTACGTACACTCAAGATACAGTAAGAAAAAACAACAACCAAGTAATTATAAATACAATGTACATAACACAGAAACATACTGCCATTATAAGAAAATCCTGCATACACCACTTTACGACACAAAAGCACGACAGACAGAAACCACAAATGAAGATAAAGGAAGAATGTACCAGCTGCATCCTCTGGCCACCTGTGACTGAAGGGTACAATACTGTGCATAGCTGGGTCGGTTAAAATAGAACAAACAAACAAAAAAAACAACAACAAGACAAACAGTCTCAACCCAAAAGACGATATCACAGAATAAATCACAGCCCTGTCTGTAAAAAAGAAACACAAAAATGAATAAAGCATAGATCATCAGTATCCATGGCTGTATGTAACCACAATAAAAGATTTCAATCAAAAAGACATTATATCAGAAGTACCTGGTTCCAAAGGTGACGCTCTTGCACAATACACGTATCCCCCAAACGATGAGAAGGAACAGACTCCTTTTCTGGCTTTTATGTCCCATATCACCACCTGAAAAATGCAAACAGATAAGTAACTGACGTGTAATAAGACCTTTTGCTTTGCATGCAGGGGACATCAGTTAATAATAATAATAATAATAGATAGCATTTGTATAGCGCATATCCCCGCTCAACAGCAGGCTCTATGCGCTTTACACTATATTATTACCCCAGCAGACCATAGAACACTCCGAAACATTCTCAGCTTCCCGGGAAGCATACAGTGCAAGCAGCTGATTAAGCGCCTAAACACTAACAAACTGACAAGATCTTTCGCTGTCTATAGCCGGGTACCCATTCCCACCTGGGTGAAGTGAGGAAAATTCGTGTAAAGTGCCTTTCCCATGGACACAACGTCGGGTCCCTGACGGGATTCGAACCCACGACCTTACGGTTGCGAGTCCGAGAGCCTAACCACTAGGCCACCGACGCCACAGTTCATATTCTAAACATCTTTCAGTTAGGACGAATTGCACATTTCAAGCAGCAACACCCCCCACCCCCCTTCCCCCTGGACCTCTGCTCATTAACCAAATGAGTTCAACAAATCGTGATTTCTAAAAAAGTAAAAGCAAGCAACATCTATTTCTGAGCCAAACAGCGCCTTACTGTTCTGTCCAGAGAGAAGGACACCACTTTATCTCCATCGGAGCTGAGTGATGCGATGTTGAAGATAAGCCGTGTGTGCTGGGCCATGTCCCTGGCAATAAGACGATCTGGCTCTTGGGATGGCTTCCCTTTCAAGTCCCACAAGAGCAGGTCACCACTGGGGAAAATAAACAAAATAGAAGTCCCTCAAGTAAATCGGGAACATTTGCTTCATAGCAGCAACTTGAAATGATATCTTTAAACTCATCTGTGACAAAACCTGAGTTATTTTACACTTGATGCATGACACTGGCACCAACACAAGCCTCAGGCCAGGAAATAAACAACATTTCTAATCAATATCAATCCATATTACATTCATTTCAAAACAAGTTAATCAAATAAAATTTGATAATAATTTCCCCTTCCTTTCTGTATATGCTCTATTCGAGAGAGAGGTTTGTTTGAGTTTTCGAGAATGAAAGGAAAATGTCTTGCCCCATTAAGTAATTGAGTACCATAGGGTAAAATAATTCTAGGACATGCAAATATCTCAATATAAAAAAACAACAAACAGCACTGCATTAACAAAAACAAAAACCCCCATTAAAGCACCATTACAGTTAGCAAGACAAAAACAACAAACAGGCCAAGTTTAATTATCATGAGCCTATACATTGTAAACAGCTGTGACCCAAAACACAATAAAAGTTTGGTTCTGAGTGATTGGGCAACGGGCAAAGAATCCAAGGACAGTACCTTGTAAGTATTTACGCTCAACGTAACATATCTTCCACATGATGGTGACACATACAGCAAGCAACGCCTACACATTGCCATCATAAGAGTGATAAGAATTTCTATTTCAGGAATTAATACGGTGTCATTCTTAAACCGTTTTTATGCTCAACTTTTAACCTTTCAAGTCAAAAGTTAAGCATGCAAAATCATACCTCTGAACATCTGAGCACGGATGTTCATTCATGTCATTCCAACATCAGAGAGGTTGCACTATCTTCTTCTTGATGCTGTAGTTTTATCTTGTATTGCAAGTCCCCCCCACCCCTTCAAACCTATTGGGAAGACTTTACCATTTGAAATGCTCTTTGAGCATTGATCTCATACAAAATTTGAGATAGAAGCTTACCTCTGGGAACTGAAGACGAGTTCAAAGGGCTGATACTTTGGCCAGTGGAGGGATAGCCATGCTCTGCGGCCCCCAGGCTCTTGAGGGTCATGGCGGTAGGAAGAGTTCTGAGAAATCTTGCGGTACATCAGTTCTTTCCCATTCGATGTGCTCCAGACTTTGATGCACCTCTTATCTGCTGTAGCTATGAGGCTTTCCATGTCAACTAAAATGATGGTAAAACAAGTGCAGCTTAAAATCTGAATTTCCACACGAATATAGGTTAACAGTTGTGTGTCTTCCGACTGGTCTTCACGGGCAGTCCGACACTTCTTAAACTAAAGGTAATTACGAATGAGAGATTTCCAAAAAAAGGAGGACAAGAACCCAAGCTAGTATTACCTTTAAAAAAGAATTGTTATAGAAAAGATATTTCTACATTTCATTACAAGCAAATTGAACGTAAAATGTTTTTTGATTCATAAGGCCAAAACAGTAGCTATTGATAGAATTCACACCTACCTTCATCTCCCCGGAGGGTACACACCCCTTCAGCAGGACACCATCGCATTGAAAGTATTTCCCCTTCATGACCTCTCAACCGTTGCAAAATCTGTGGATTGTCTCTGTCCAGACCCACAATGAGGGCAACACCTGATCGGTAGCTGTTGAAAGAGAAAGAAAGCCACTTATATCCTGCAACAAATCAGGTACAGTTCAGAGTGACACGTTCAAGAAAATGGCTTTCCTTATGTTATAAACCATAATAAACCCAGATAGCATAAAAAAATTGCTCTCATGTAGAGGAAAATGTTTAAAATCAATTTTTGCTTATATTTTCATGTTTGTTTGGAAGAACATTCTAGTCTACTGAATTTCCACCTCATCTCAACAGACACTGACCATGGACTCCCTAGATCTGCCGCTTGAGTGAACAACTGTATGAGATAAAGGACCAATACCTTTTCCAACACTGCTCTATCTTTCTACAATATTATCAAGCCTTCCTCCAAGACTAGACAGCAGGAACACCCTCAGTGAGACAAAACAGTCATCATACACTGCACGTTTTTGTTGGTTCTGTCCTATTAAAAATGGACAGTAAATTTGGAGGTCCTGTCTCTTTAAAATCTTTTACAGAGTTGAAAGAAGCATTATAACACAAAAACTATACCACAGATGACCAACATCACACATCAAAGCCAACTGAAACCAAGAACTTGGGAACAGAAAACAAAAAAATACCAATGTGTACGTATGCACTATATTATATACCCGATAGCCAGTCGAGATGAGGAATGGGGTGACATCTCAAGGCTGTAGATGTACTCTCGTTCAAGACGAAAAGACTGGACAGAGTTACTCTTGATCCTCCACATCACTACCGTACCCTTCTCATCAGATGTCAGAATCAAGTCCAAATTGCTGGCTGACCAAGTCATGCTTGTGATTTTTTCCTGCAAGAACAAATATATAATATATCATGTATTAAAAGTATTTTCAAACAACAGTCAGTCAGTTACAGTGAGTGTTTAGTCAGGTAACAGGGGAAAAAGGTCGCAAAGTCCAAGAACGTCATTTTGAAACCATATATATAGAACAGAATGGCAGTACTGTGAAAATACACTACAGCACAGTAATTTAGAACTTATATTGTGAAACAAAGAGGTCAATATCAAGTGAACCTGTCCAAGTCAGCAACCCATTTTCGAGGAGAAAAGTGGTCATCACAGACAGGTGATCCTCTTCAAAAATGAATTATAATCTTAACAGTATCTTTAAAGTTTGTATATAGAGTTGTATAGGTGATAGTCTTAAACATGTGAGAAAAAGCAGTTTCCTCTCTGTATATATGAAGATGTGAGTCTGTTCAGAGGTAGAGTCTAGATGTTTAGTAAGTTTACAGGTTTTGTTTTAAAATTATTTTGTTTCTTGTGCATGTGGACAAAAAAAAAGCCAAGAGTTAGTATAGGGCAATGGCACTGTTGTTTCTGTTTCCAGCTCGTGCACCACAGCCATAGGTCATGAACCAACAAAATCGTCTAAGTCAAAGCAGTAAATTAGACAGCTAGCTACATATCTACATGAATGATACATGATGATGATGATGTTGATGATGCTCCTTGCCTACAAAACAAATAGACCTAGATCTAAATCTTTTAGCAAGTGGCTATTCTCCGGCATCGCGCCAGTCAATATATCGAAGGCTATTCTCCGGCGTCCTGTATAGTTACACATGTTGCTTCTCCACAGTTTTCCATCTCCCCTGTTGGCACCGTCATTATTCGGACTCGAGTCCGAATAACACTTTTTCATATTTGGACTCAAGTCCGAATAAAAAAATTTCATATTCGGACTCGAGTCCGAATATGAAAAAATGTTATTCAGACAC